TGCAGCCTTGAAAAGTATAAACTCTATTGTCCAATTTTAGTTTCCTGGGACTGGACACATTTTGGACTTGTACATTTGGTGCCTACAGTTGCTCCATCTTAACTCCGGATGCTGTGAATCTTTAGAGAGGCTGGGATCCTTCAGCCCTTCCCTTCCCTTCCATTTTCTAGCATCCAGAGTCCTTTCTCACCCTCGCCCGCTTCTGGTACCCCTTGAGCCCATTCACACTTCTTGGACTCTACATGGGCAGTTACTGCTTTGGCCTTCCTCACTATCACTTCTGTCATTGCCTTAGATATACTTAGGAAGAGGGTATTTACTTAACCTTCATTTCATTAAAAAATTAAAAACAAACAAACAAACACCTTTCTTCACTAAGCGGTAAAAGATGAGAAACTATTGCAGAATGACTAGTAGGTGTGATAGTCAACCTCTCAGCTGGCCAGCAGTGATACTCGCCTTCTGGTGTCACAAGCTTGTGTAGTGAGTGCTCTTCCAGCATTGAGCCAGGGCTGGCCTGTGTGGCCAACAGAATATGGCAGAAGTGATAAAGTGTGATTGTCAAAGGGAGGTAAGGAAAGGCATGACAGTTTCTGTAATGGTCTCTCCACTTGCTCAATCTGGGAGAAGCCAGTTGTCATGCTGTGAGTACACTTAAGAGTGAAGAGGTCCCATGGGGAAGAACAAACTTAAACCACCTTGGAAGTATATCTGCCAGTCCAGTCAAACCTCCATGACTAAAGCCATAGCTGATATCTGACTGTAACCATATAAGAGACCACAGCCAGAAAGGCCTAAGTAGGCCACTCTCAAACTCTTGACCCATAGAAACTGCCAGAGATGATGATTACTGTTGTTTTAAGCCACTGAGTTTTGGGGCAACTTGTGCAGCAATAGATAACTAATACATTAAGAACGCATTTACTATTCTCAAATGGCTTCATGATGGAGATGATCTAATGCAGGCAGTCTTTTAAGGAAGTCAACCCACTGTATACATTACTTGTTACTCTTTGCCACTTTCTCTTTTTGAAATGTAAATGCTAATATAGCTGTGAGAGAAATACTATAGATTGTGCCTCCCAAAATTCATGCTGAAGCCTAATCCCCACTGTGACCATATTTGGAGGTGGAGCCTGTGAGAGGTAAGGAGGTTTAGATGAGGTCATTAATCCCACCATGACGGGATTAATGCCCTAATAAAAGGAAGCAAACCAAGATTGCTCTCTATCCCCAAGAAAGGCCATGTGAGCACATAACCAGGAAGAGAGCCCTCGCCAAGAACCTGAATAAGCTGGAACCCTGATCTCAGACTTCCAGTCTCCAAAGCCATGAGAAATAAATATTTGTGGTTTAAGCTACCCAGTCTAAGGTGATTTGTTATGGCAGCCCAAACTAAGGCGTTTCGTATATGTGTATATAACAGACAGGAGTATGTTATTTCTGTTTACTTACGGAGGAAAACAAAGATCCCACATAAGTCTCTTCTTGGTCTTTGCTATATACCTAATGTTTGTGTCTCCCCAAATTCATATGTTGAAACCTAAACCCCAATGTTATGGTATTAGGAGGTGGGGCCTTTGGGGGGGTGATTGGGTCATAAGGTGGAGCCCTCATGAATGGGAGTAGTGTTCTTATAAAAGAGGCCCCAGAGAGCTCCCTTGACCCTTCCACGAAGTGAGAACAAAGAGAAAAGATAGACATCTTTGGACTAGGAAATGGGCACCCACCAGACACTGAATTTCCTGTGTCTTGATCTTAGACTTCTCTGCCTCCAGAACTGAGAAATAAACGTGTGTTGTTTATAAGCCACCCGCTGTATGGCATTCTGTTATAGCAGCCTAAATGAATTAATACAGTTTTATAAGAAGACTGAGTGTCAAACTCCAATAACTGCAAAGAACGATCTCATGTCCTGTTAGGTACACGAGGCTAAAAGGTGTGTCAGTGAAGTCACTGTTAGTGACTGTTTTATTGCATAAATAATATATGGTCATTGCAGAAGATTTAGAACATGCAGCTGAAACAAAAATATAATGAATACACTTCAAAGATAGCCATCATTTGTGATTACATCTAGTCTTTTTTTCTACTTAAAATTATACCATGAATATTTTCCATATCACAATAAAGAAGCTCTATACGGCCTACAGTGCTACAGTGCCATGGACAAAGCAGATATGCAAGAAATGTTTGTTAAGCCAGAATGATCATTAAAATGATATGCTAAGAAGTGAGTTAAGAAAATTTTATGCTCACAGGTGCATTAGTTCTTTTTATTTTTTGACAAACAGTTTAAAAAATCTTATTTTGGAATCCTGTAATTCATCACTAATTAGAATAATTACATGTACTTGGACCTCTGTGTGGTAATATGTTGGTAAATATCACTTTTTATTTAAATGTGTATTGGTAGAATATCAGGTAAAGATGGTTGAATATACTCAATTTTGGACTGTTCCTAAAGCAGGTGGATGGGGAACTACTCAGTGGACCTGAGAAAGTTGAACTAGAAGCTGGAGTTGAGAAAGAGAAGCACTGCCAATTTATATGCAGCGTCCTTAAAAGACTCCAGGCTTGGCAGCAGCAGGGGAAACTGTGGCCAGAATGGCAGGAGGGTTTGAACTGTGTTTAAGAAGCACTGACACACCCCCTCCTTTCTGCTACTGCAAGCAACTGGGTGACATCACCTCTTCTACCTCAGCAGAAGCCAGAAAGTTTATCCCGTGGTGAGGGCAAAACTTGAGGGTCTCTGAATTAGGAGATATACCAGCAATACTGGGGGTGGGATACTATATATGGATAAGGAGGATTAAGTAAATATGCATGCGGCACACTGATTCCTCTAATCTACTTCTCGCCCTTCTTTCTCAAACAAATACTGGCAGCCAGGCCCTTACTCTCCAGGCCAGAGTTTGCAGGAGTTTTCCTAAGGGACCTGACCAACCCATGAGGAAAGCCTAAGAGATATTGACAGTAGAAGTTCCCTAAAAACTGGCTCTGCCGGGTCAGTACAGCAAAAGTCACCATCAATGAGCGTCTCTCCCCGCCCCACCCCCACCCCCGCCCCCTTCCCACACACCTCCCTTGACAAGTTTGTGTTCAGAACTTCACTTTTTAGTCCCAAATAGCCAGGGAAAATCAAAAACAATCTGGAGAGATCTAGAACTACGGAGGAAAAAGAACATTTCAAAAATTATTATTAAAAACTCAAAGAGATAAGAGAAATACAAGGTATTAAGCAGCAAGAAAATGATTCTGTTAAAGAAAAAGGGCATTCAGAGAACAAAAAAGACCTCTTAGAAATTAAAAACATGACAGCTTAACTAAAAAAAAATTCCCCCAAACCGGAGGACAGATTTTCTAGACTTAATGGGCCCACTGAGTATCTAGTACAACGGATTTTTAAAAAAACCCACATGGAGGAATATCATTGTGAAATCTCACAACACTAGGATAAAGATGATTTATCCAACTTCCAGAGAAGAAAATAGTTATACATAAAGGGCTGTGAATTAGAACAGTGGCATTCTTTTCAACAGCCATACTGTGAATACAGAGACATTGAAGCAATGTCTTCAAAATTTTGAAGAAAAAAAATTAGAAAGCAATTTTGAGTGAAAATGATTTCCAACATAGAACTCTTTATACAATCACTCATCAATCAAGTGGGGAGGTGGAATACAGACAGTTTTAGACAGGCAAGTATGTACTTAAATAATTTTTACCTCCATATACTTTTTCATAAAAAGCACCTGGAGGATGTGGTCCATGAAAATGAAGGACTCAAACAAGAAAAAGGAAGACAATGAGGTCTAGGAACTAGGAGCTCCAACACACAGTAGAGAAGTGAAGGGACGCTTCCGAATGGTGACGACATGAGATCTCGTGCACCCCGGCAGAGAGGGTGACCGGTCTAGATGAGCAGGCCAGAAGCTTCTGAGAGAGACTTCTACAAAAGCATGAAGTTGACAAAACACCTGCTAGGAAACTGACAGAATCATGGAACATTTTGGGAGAATATTTAGACAACTGGCAAATATTTCAGTACTAGAAGAACGGTCAGTATATAAAGCACACCTACACATAAGAAAAACAAACAGAAAAAATAAACAAACAAGTAAAAAGAAAAAACTTCAGGAATAAGTTGTGCTGGTAAAAAAAGAATAGCTTAATAATATGCACCATTTCTGAATAGCATATATATAGTCATAATAATGTAAACCTTAAATATTTTTCTAATCAAAACAGACAATTATATTGTAAGGATGGAAATTGATTGTGCATAGTGTGAATGAGGAGAATAAAGTTCTAAGTCCTCATCTTCTATAGGGGAAAGTTGACATACAATGTCCCAAACTAAAAAACTCTGGAGGTGGCAATGCTTACTGGCCATTAAGGTAAATGGAGGCAAAAATACAGAGGCAGAGTCAAAAGCGGTTTTTTTAGGGAAGAGGAAATGAGAAGCAGGGGAACTTGGACCTGTTCTTTTTCTTAAGAAAACTTATAGAACCAGCAGGTCCTTTAAATTGTATCCTACTATATAATTTTGATGAAAATTAAAAAAAATAACACCTATTTGATTTTGAGAAATAATATTTTGGATGGTCACTTTCCTTTTCTGAGATGCTCAGACTAAATAATTTCTAAGGTCCCATGACCTCTACATGTGTTTGTTTTTTGTATTACTTTGTACAAGTGTCTGTACTTGTGAACACAAACACATGGAGAGCTGATAATCAACAGAACTCCCTAGATTATTTTGATCTTTCAAAATTAATATGCAGGGAATATAGTCAATAATATTATAATAACTAGGTACAGTGTGCGGAGGGTATTCATCAGGAGAATCAATTCATAAATTATATAAATGTCTAACCACTATGCTGTGTACCTGAAACTAATATAAAATAATATTGTAAGTCAACTCTAATTGAAAAATAAAAATTAAAAAAAATTAACATATTAACCACATATCTACAGACACAATCTGATCCTACCGAATGAAGGAGAACAAGGTGGCACAACCGTCTACCGATTTGTAGAGAAACACCAGAGGCTGCATTTCTGTCTTCTTCTGGCCACGTGACAGGAGACCCAAGAAGAGACAAAAAAGTTCCCTGCTGTTTAGACTCTGGCCTGTGACGCATGGTGATGCTGACCTAAAAGTTAATATTTATCCACCTCAGTGAGTTAAGCTTGGCTGGAGAACTTAATGGGAGAAAGGAAGGAAAGCACTACAAACTCTGGTAGAAATTTGTGCTAAAGTCAACATTCACCTTGGTAGCATAGCCAAGTCACTTGCCTCCTCTCTAACACATGCCAAGGAAGAACATGGCCGGTCCTTTCACAATACCAACACTAAAATGGGGAGGGGCAGGTATGGAGCTTTGAGTTAAAGGGAAAAATGCAAATTGTCCAGTTCGAACCTCCCATTACTTCCTAGCTTTGTGACTGTCGGTAAATCACAATTTCTCCATACCCTGAGTTCTTTGTCCATAAATGGAAGATAATACCTATTCCACGTGGTTGTTAGGAGAATGTGTGTTAACACCTGTCAAGCACTAAAAACGGTGCCTGATATACCTTTTCTAAAAATAGATGCAAAGAACATAATTGATTTGCAGGAGCCTTGGATTCATATGGCTTGCGTCCCCCCAGCCCACC